CCACAATGTAGTAGTATTAGCTACTGTGCAAAATAGCATAGTAACGGAGCAATGCCAAAAAACCCCCAGTAAAAATCAGGCCCTGGTCTGACATCTAGAAGTCTGATGTGACAGCTGCAGGCAGTTTGATCTTTCCAGAACCGGAATGTTCTCAATCAAAGGAGCTATCCAAGAAATCTATTGATGAAAGGGTCCGTACACACCTCACCCATTACACCAATTTAAAAATCCTTTTAAATGGACTGATTTAAGAAATGTCCATGACTATAAGCAATCCAAAACCATTTTTAGGAAGTACAAAACTTAAGAAGACTATTCTATTATGGCATGAGACATCAAATAATTAATGGTTAATGAGTATTTATTTGTAGGACCTGGAAAATATGCAGCCCTCAGTCACCAGTAATCAGTATTTGTGTATTTAATGATTTCATGTGTTTATGTAAGTCCTGGGCACAATAAAGTGAGCAAGACACACAACGGTCCAAATCCTTATAAAGCTTCCATTGTATTGGGGCAAATAAACAAGCACAAAAAAATAATGCAATTTCAGATACCAATAAATCCCTGTAGAAAAGAAAGAAACCTAATGGGACTGAGGACAAAAAGACATCTCTGAGGAGTAAACATTTGAGCCAAGATGTGTCTTGAACCACGTGCAGTTCTGCGGCAGTGCCCCAGGGTCAGTGAGTAGCATGTGCTAGTCCAGACACAGACAAGGCCTTCATCTGGTGGCGGACCGGCAAGCATCCAGCTGTAGCCGAAGCAAAGAGATCAAGGGAGAACACAGTGGAAGAGGAGATGAGGGAGAAGCGAGGCAGGGGCCCATCATGGTATGCTGTGGCCAGAGAGTTTGGACTTTATTGAAGGGTAATGAGAATATATTAAGGGACTTTCTAATCATAGGGCTGATCTATGCTTTAGAAAGACCACTCCAGCTACAGTGAAAACTGAGTGAAAAATAAGTGGAGGCAGAGACTCGCTGCAAGGTTACTGCTGTCAGGAAAGAAAGACGATGGAGGTGCGTACTAAGGCCGAAGCAGTGACGCTGGGTTGGAGCTCAAAGTACCGTAGACCTGAGGTTCTGACAGTGCAGATAACAAAGTATGAGAAAAAGAGAGGAATCTTAAATTTTGGCCTGAGCAAAACCTTGCGATCAAACCTATCTGGGTAGGGTCCAGTTCACCGAAGTCCTCACTCATCATGCTAAAGATTTTGGTTTCTTCTGAAAAGCAGTACAAAGCAGTGGAGTAAGAAAAAAAGCAGGATTCCAGATGTATTTTGTTGATTTAACATGCCACACTCAGCAAGCACATGCCAGACCCTTCAAGGCTGCCTCTAGCCTGAGCCACGGCTGAGTCCTTCTGGAAAGACTGGGAGCCAGCCCATCAATCACCAACTGGGATTTCCTCAGAAGTGCAATGAATCCAAGTGAAAGCTTATTCTTGAGACCTTGGTGCAAACACATCCTTCTTCCCGACTTCCCTACCCTGCTAGAAAACCGCTGGGACCAATTATCCGGGCATGCTTGTGACCATCTAAACGCGTCCACTTTACATCCCTGTCACCTTCGGTTCTTCCAATGATAAACACTCCCTTGGTCGGGTATCCTTTCCCAAACGCTCAGCTTCACTGCGCTGTTACCGCTTCTCCTGACTCAACTTCCCACGGTGCCCCACAGAACCTCCTTTATGGGATTAACAGACACCTCTATAGCCTTGCCCTCTCTAATGAACATTTCTTGTCTCAGCCAACTTTAATTTAAATGTGGTTCTCCCCATATAATACCACATGCAATGCAGCCCCTTGAGAGGGAAGCTCCTCATTCTCCAAATCCTCACATACTTCAGTCAGGAATGGGGAGAGATGACACGTTTGTGGATGCTAAGATCGACTATGATAAAGAAGCACATTTCCAACAGAACAGATAAAATGACTCTAAATTTACAAGAAGGATAGAGAGTGAAAATAACCCACCTAAATGGCAAACACGAGAGTAGTAGCTCAAAAACTAAAATATGTCTATAAAAGGATATTATGAAGTCATTATAAATTCATGTTCCAGAAGAATACTTAATGCATCCTGGGAGTATCCATGTAATTCAATTTTTTAAAAAAGTATTATTAAGCAGCATGCAGTGTATAAGACTGACCTGATTAAAGAGAAAGAAGAGTGCGGGATATGTGTGCTCAGAAAAAAAAATGGTTATAAATAAAATAGACAAAATGGTCTCTCTAGGTAGTAGAAATAAGAATGAATTGTTTCCTTTCTTGTACTTTTTCTACGTTCCTTAATTTCTACAACATATGTATTTCTTTTAACTAGGGGAGGATAAAAGGCCAAAGTAAAGGCACATCCACACTGCTCTGGAATAAAATTTGCATAGTCTGTTTTAGGCTTTTTATATGCTTATTCCCTAAAAATAAAAGCAAACAAACAACCACCTCCAAGACCTTAGGTTAACTGCCCAGAACTTAGGAGGGGCTAACAAACCTCCCCCCACAAAACCAAACAAAAAACCCTCAAGATTTCTTCTAGCATGTCATTCACTTAGCACAATAGGAGTTTGATGAGTCTCTCCAATTAGTTATTCTAAAGGTATGCTGTTGTTTTATATGACTTTATAAAAATCCATGCATTGTTTCTGCAAATGAGGATATTATTATTTACATATTTTTAAATATTCTATAAAGAGATATTCACATTGTTAATTTCCTTTAAGGAATATACACATACACCTGTACACAATTTTGCCTAATGCATAAGCAGTAACATAAAAGATCTTAGAAAGCCATCTTCAGCAATTAAATTCCCAAAGAGGAAAAATATTAAGAATGGGAAGTTTACTCTTAAGATAAGTACTAATACTACAACTGTACCTGGCATAAAAACCAAGAATGGCACATAGCCCAAAATAATCCCTAATAACTCTAAATTAAGGCATTCTTTTCAAAAGATTCTTTTTATCAATGCTTTCTTGTTTTAATTTAGCTTTGGAAATATATTTCCTCTATAATTCCATACGAAAGAACTGCTTGGAAGAAAACCTGTATGGGCAAAAATCATTTTAGAATGCATGTTCCTAAAGTGGTTATTCATTAGATTATATAACATCAGTAGCTTATATTTTCCACAAAATTAACTACCACTACTAGCACGTTTATCTTTTAAATCTAAAAAGTTGTGCATCATTTCCAAAAAGGTAAATATTCATGAAAAGGACAATTAGTGAATTCAGAATCAGGACCAAGAAGAATTAGTATCTTCTTATCTAAGCAAAGTACAGTGCAAGACGGTTTTCAAATCAAGCTTAACAGATAATGGTATCTGTCTTCCAGGAATCTAGTCTCCATGAGTTACGATGCCAAAGCTCTTTTGCAAACTAACAGCAGCCAATATAATGCCCCGAGAAATTCAATTCAAATTAGGAGGTAGATTCTTGGTGTTAATAATTTATATTTAAACTTTGTCTCTTGAAAAACTGAAAGTGGATTTAAACACAGGGTTATGTTAAATGAATCTAACAAATGGACAAGAAAGGCTTTGAGGGCTGAAGAGAAGGGAAGGTCAGGAGGAGGACACTCCGATACAGAGACAGTCTTGGTCAGCATTTATAACACACCTCTATTACCACAACGGCTGTTTCTCCTCTGGTCAGAGGCCACTCCAAGGCTGTTCCCATTGCCCAGTGCTTTGTGAAAAGAAGAGATGGAAAGGCTGCAAAACCTAAGGAGGCCTGAGGCTACATATTTTAATTTCACTATTTAAAATTATATAATTATATTTAAATGCCTTCTTATCTACACTGGTTTAAAACAGCTTTATTTCTCTAGTATATGTTATCCTGATTCGGCAACCAAATCCCTTCACCAATTCAAATCACTTAATTAATGGAGAAAAGTCATATTACTTTGATTTAGCAGAGATTTATCTTAATTTTAACAATAGTGGGAAGCTGCCTTTCTACATAATTAAGCAAAATTCCACATATTTTCAAAGCTTTCTATGCATAAACACTTTCCATTCACCTCAGACTCTTGTTAAAAATGCGCAGCATGTACTCTAAACTTAAAAGTGAATGTTAAGATTTATTTTCTTCAAACATGGGCAAATTTAAAAGGAAGGTAAAAGTCATTTACTTTCACACAACCTAAAACAATACTGTTAGCACTGCAGTGACAAAGAGGCTCCAAATGACAAAGGTCAGTTAAGTAAAAGAAGGCAAAGGCAGCAGAACTCAGATGCTGAGAATAAAAACAAAAATAGATTCAATGCAGTATTCTGAGAATGAAGATCAATGAGAACAGTTGCTCCGTCTCATCTCACTTCTAGCATCATCTTCTAGATTGTTGTGAGACAACCTTCCTATTCCAGCATTTTCTCTTTGCTGGTTCTTGACATTTGCCTTAATAAAACCAATACTTAAGCCCCCAATTTTCATCATCTGAAAGAAAAAGGCAATACACTGCCTCATCTACAAAGTGCTTAGCTCTCATGGGCAAAGTGAGAAGACAGGATAAAAATATAAACAGAAGGGCAAGGAAGGAACAGTATCATATTTTATTTAACTATTGATCTGAGTAATAAGGCAGCAGGTTGTCTTTCCAATAAAAACTACTTTTATAAAGTAAAACAAATGCCCTTGCTTGCTCAATGGTGAAGGTCTTCAAAAGAAATCAACTGAGAAGAGGACGTACAGGGAAATTATGATCTAAACCATAAAAAAGGGCTAAATATGAGTGAATACTTTATGTTATCATTTAATGCTGTAATTCTCAGAAATTGAAAGCAGAATAAACAATCTTATTGCCTATGATTATGACGGCATAGAAATTAATGAGACAGTTAATACAGCAAATCAATAATAAAGTAGAGATAATGGCACGCATATTTGTTGTGCTTAACCAGCAGGAAAACAAAATTGAGTACATAAAGGTTTTACATAAAATCGAGCTAGAAGTTCCAGAGAAAAAAGAACGTGGGCTCTCTGCTTCCTTACCTGTAAGGACAGCTTTGGCTGACGAGTCGGCCAGGTCCAGGGCTGACTTCCCATCCGTGTTCCGAATGTTTGGATCGGCTCCGTGCTGCAGCAGCACTGTGCAGGGAAAGCAGAGACAGTATCTTACCTCAGGGATACAGAGATTATTTACTGGTAAGTGTCGCCTCGGCATGGTGTAGGCATAAACATACATTGCACAGTTTTTTCTCTTTCAAGAAAAAAAAAGAGGAAAGACAGACACAGAAAGGTGGAAAACAAGCACTGCAGCAGAAGATCCTCTCTAGAGTAAAGCAAAGTTGGCAACTTGTGGTACAGTATTATCACATGACTTAACATCATAAACACGAAACTAGAAAAATCTTGCAAGAAGCCAGTTTGGGTCTGCCTCCTTCAGGCAGCGGAATGGGAGGCTGTATGCTCACTGCCTCACACTGTGAAATACACTAACCGTGAACCTCCCTATCTTTACTACCACTGTGGCTGCTTGTTGCTGCTATTTTACTGCTGAATTTCCTAGCGCTTCCTCTCCTCAGCAGAGTTGTAAGACTGTGCAAGCCTTTTAGTGGCTCGCTGCTTACATAGGAAACTCACCATAACATACTGGCTCGCTTCCAGGAAGTTTAAGGGACATAGGAATGCATGCAACTCTGCTCCCCTGCAGGCAGGCTGCAAAAAAACAACTGCCTTCTGCAATAATTCTTTCCATAAAAAATGTTTAGAAGCAGAGTATCACTATAATATATGCTAAAGAATGAATGCTGCACATGCTATATTAGGCAGAAAGTGGCTACAGAGAATTCTTAGACATAGAGGCTCCCCAAAGAGAGAAGCCCTGTTTAAGTAAAATCCGGATTTAATAATTTATTAATCCAAAACACTTCTCTACCACATCTGGTATGTGAGTGGGGGGGGGGGGGGGGGGGGGGGGGGAATGCTGTAATATCACCCAACCAACGGTTAAGCTAATAAATACAATAAAAATGAGTCCAAACAAGCAAGGTTCAATTATAAGTTATTCTAACAGTTCAAATGGTTAAGATTTTGTGCACTACTAAGGAGGACAGTAGCTGTTACTATCTACCACTATACTACAACATAAATTTAAAACAAAGCAGAAATATTATATTCAAGTAAGTGGTTAAAGAGATGTTATATAACATCTAAAAACATCTGAGCCACTACAGTGGGTGAGCTCTGAATTTTCATTCATTGATATTCCGAGCTAAAGTACATACATTCCTTGGGAGTATTTGGAAGGCAATCCTCATAGATTACTAAGCAATAAGTCCTGCTGTTTATAAAGCTCTTCCCCCTCCTTTAATCCATAAGCCATCTAGTCAGTGGCTTCGTTATAAAGGAATAGCCTTATCTGGAATTAGGACGCAGCTGCTGGAACAGTGTGCATCAGCACCTCTTGCATTAAATCTTGGCTACTCTCACATATGGGATAGTAAAAACTAGCCAGGGCTGAGAAGATGCGGGTGAGATTTTGCCAGGACTTTTCATATTATTTCATCCTTGAATGCAAGCAATCATAATTATTTTCCAGATGTTTACAAACTGACTCGAGAGTAAACAGGATAAAATAGCAAGTATCACAATCTCAAACTGTAGTTACTCTTTCATCATAATGAGTAAGCTTTCACGGGGACAGTTTTGTTTTTGTTTTTGTTTTGTTTTAATTCCAAGAAGAAATCCCAACATGAAGGTTTGGCTTGTAAAGGGTCTTTATCAGGAAGGGGACTCATGTATCAAATGCAAAGCTGACAGCTATCACTTTATCTTTATTTAGTTGCTGAGTGATCACATGCAAAGGGTAGGAAAACAAAGAAGTAACATCTACCATGAAAAGCAGAGTTTTTACTGCATACTTTGGGAACTTCAGACCTGCTTTAAATAAGTAAGCAGTATGTTAATTTAACAAGGCTTGACAATTATATGATGGGAGCTTTTTTTTTTTTTTTTTCCAGTTTATGAGGTAGAGGAAAAAACCTGAAAGCCTTATCGTTTCTCCAAAAGTCACCTAAAATCTCAATCTTTTTTGTTGTAACTAGTACTTTACCTATTATCTCTCCGCTATTTTACAATAGAAACCTGCTATTAAGTTTGGCTGCAGTTTTGCTTTATTTTAGGTGACTTTTAAAGGAGTAATCTTGTTACTAAAAATATCTATTTTCTAAAGATTCTGAGTCCTATGTATTTCTTTCATTAGACCTGAACCCACAGAAATATCAGTGCAGACAAATGTCGCAACAGTGAAGAAGTTGGATTTTCTAAAGCAGACGCTGACAACAAAATCCACATTAGAAAGTATTTAATCATTTTTAATTAATTGGAGACTAATTAATTAAAAACCTAACTCAGGAGAATTAAGAGTTTTGGGGGGGGGGGGCACCTGGGTGGCTCAGTTGGTTAAGTGTCCAGCTTCGGCTCAGGTCATGATCTCACGGTTTGTAGGTTCGAGCCCCACATCAGGCTCTGTGATGACAGAGCCTGGAGCCTGCTTTAGATTCTGTGTCTCCATCTCTCTGCCCCTTCCTTGCTTCTGCTCTTTCTCTCAAAAAATAAACATTATAAAAAATTTTTTTAAAAAGGGGATTTAGGGGCAATAAAGGCATCTATAACTAGAAGCTAACAATTCTCTAACTTGTACAAAAGGGCAGTGCTGGGAAGTTGACATAAGAACAGTGGCAGGCATAAGCGCTAAGAACGGAGCCTGTACTACACAGCAGCCAATGATAACGTTTAAAGCACATCTGTAAATGGAGACCTTGTTTGTACTCTCAACTCTGCCACTAACTACTAATTCAATGCTTTGTCCTAAAGCCAGCTCTTTAGATCTTTACTTTTCTGCAAAGGGTCAGATAGTAAATATATCAGACTCTGTAGACCATATGGTCTCTGTCTCAACTACTCATCCCCGCCTCAACCTCATCCTTACAGGGGAAAAGCCACTACAGACAATACTTGAAAGAACGTGAGTGGCTGTGTTCCAATAAAATCTTAGTTAAGGACAGTGAAATATTAATGTTATATAGTTTTTGTGTATCACAAAATATTGTACTGTAAAATTTTAAAGAATCGCTTTAAAAATGTGAAAACAATTCTTTGCTTACATACAAAAAGCAAGGGGTGAGCTGTATTTGGCCCACACATGACCATCTGCCAATTCCTACCTTGACAGTGAGATACCAAGTATGGTCTACAGACTATTCTAGTCCCAGAACTCTTTGTAATCCATCTACATTGAAGTAAGCATAGAAATTAAGAGGAAGCATTTAGAACTGTGTATGTTATTTTAAAATTATTTTCCGGTATTTCGTTTTTATTATTCATTACAAAATTATTGGCCCGCCATGCATTGGAGAAGAAGAAAAAACTCATACGGTTTGAGATTAAAAAAATTATCTGGGCCAGACTTCCAAGTCTATAAAATGAAGAAGCTGGACTAGGCAGGTGATGTCTAGATATCTAAGGTAGAAACTTAATTTAAAATAAAAAAAAGAGTTATTTCAAGTAGAACCTTTTCCTTCCCCACCCTCTAAATCAAAATTTAAAAAAATGTTTTCCATTCACACTAACACTTTATCTAACAAAAACAAAACTCAGAGTCCATAATCAATGGAAGTTGTGAGGTACATACTAAAACGTCCCAAGCTACTCCCAAGCAATTCCTTCAACTGAATTGCTGTTTCACACCATTCTCTATGGGGATTTGTTTCTCTGCTTCCAGCACCAGAAAACTAGTACATACATCAGTCAAAGGTAAAAAAATGGATTTCAAGAATGTCAGTCTAGACTTGAACTGGTGACATGAGGAACTCTCAATCCTGCTTCAAATTTTGCATTCAAAATTCTGAGCTACCAAATAATTACAAAATGTGACTTCAAATATATAATACAATTAGAAATTCCTCTCTCTCTCCCCTTCCTTGCACGTACTCGCTCATATGCTCTGGCTCCCTCAAAATAAATAAATAGTGGGGCACCTGGGTGGCTCAGTTGGTTAAGCAACCGACTTCGGCTCGGGTCATAATCTCACAGTTCATGAGTTCGAGCCCCACAATGGGCTCTGTGCTGACAAGTTGAAGCCTGCTTAGGATTCTGTGTCTCCCTCTCCCTCTCTCTCTCTCTCTCAAAAATAAACATCAAAATAAATAAACTTAAAAAAAAAAAAGAAATTCATCTTGTAACATCAACATGCACTGACAACACACTCATATAAAACAGATTCTCCTTCAAAAGTAGCACAAATGTCTGAAGCAAAGTTTCTAAAATATACAAACAACATAGAAAGTAAGATTTGAAAGAAAAACAAGGGAACTAAAATCTGAGTAATAATTCAGTACATAAATTCAAGACCACTGCAGCCATTCAAAAATCTCCTTGTACTATCTTTAACCAATTAATTAGGTCATCATCAAACCTCAAATCCCAAATGACTTGACTATATCCAATTGTTCGACTGATGCATCTCCAATCCATTTATCTCTTTCTGGGTTTAGGAGATGGAGAAAATATAGCAGCTGGCATAACAACAGATAGTTAAAACTAAGGTAGGATTACAGTATTCAAAATGTCATTCTCAAAAGAGTGTTTGCCAAGAAGGACATGTGATTTTCCTATTTCTGGTGCAAGCATTCAGCTATAGGGAGCCAGATTCAGAAAGCACGCCTTTACCCTGTGACCAATACAGTAGAAACTGAAATTGTTTCATTTATCAAAACTATTAAATTTAAGCATGCCTATCATTTTCATTCTTCCAAATAATAAGAAAAGATTTTTACATGTATGCAAAGCCTCGTCCTTTCAAATTCCTAGAAAAATACAAAGTGCTACTATAGCAGATTGTATTTAATTATAGGTATTAGTAACTTATTTAAGAAGATAAAAGAGGGCCGAGTAGGTGGCTCAGTCCATTGAGTGTCTGACTTCGGCTCAGGTCATGATCTCATGGTTTATGGGTTTGACCCCTGCGTCGGGCTCTGTGCTGACAGCTAGCTCAGAGCCTGGAGCCTGCTTTGGATTCTGTATCTCTCTCTCTCTCTGACCCTCCCCTGCTCATGCTCTCTCTCTCTCTCTCAGAAATAAATAAA